ATATGGTGGTGAACATCTTTATATGGTGGTGAACATCTTTATATGGTGGTGACCATTTTTATATGGTGGTGACCATTTTTATATGGTGGTGAACATCTTTATATGGTGGTGAACATCTTTATATGGGGGCGAACATCTTTATATGGTGGTGAACATCTTTATATGGTGGTGAACATCTTTATGTGGTGGTGACTATCTTTATATGGTGGTTAACATCTTTATATGGTGGTGAACATTCTTATACGGTGGTGGCCATATTTATATGGTGGTGAATATCTTTATATGGTGGTGAACATCTTTATATGGTGGTGACTATCTTTATATGGTGGTGACTATCTTTATATGGTGGTGAACATCTTTATATGGTGGTGAACATCTTTATATGGTGGTGAATATCTTTATATGGTGGTGAACATCTTTATATGGTGGTGAACTTATCTTTACAAGATAGTGGTCATCATTATTTATATAGTTTAGACTGTACCTTACGTCTTTATATAGTAGTGACCATCTTTGCATGATGGTGGATATTTTTATAGTTTTGCATAAAACTAAATTTAGTATAAGTATAGTATAAGTATAAATAAATCATAGTCAACTTAACTTAAGTCTAAATAATATATTTTTGCTGAAATTAATATTTGTGATACAGTTTTTTGGCTTCAACTGCCATGCGTCAGTTACAGAATAAATATAAAATATTTTATTCCTTGTACACACTTCATTTCACCTTTGGGTCATCATTGTGATTGCTTCCAAGTTACTTTGTATAGGTCCCAAAGGTAAGTTTCTAATATATTGAATTGCACAGACCTATAGTAGGCAGGGTAAACCATAATACACAGGTTAATGGGTGAAAACTGTCAATCAAAAACATATTTCCTCAAAGATTTGGGTTCAAAAAAGCTGCTTTGCTGTAACTTTGAAACAAAGTGATAGTTATTTTTCTCTTGAGAGTAGACTGAAACAGTGTAGCAAGCAGTTATCGTGACCTGAAGTTGACCACCTGTGTCCTGTATATGAACCCTTGTCTGATCACATGACTGTCACATGACACAACTCATTCACAAGTTAAATAAACATGTCCGTCTAGTCTATAAATTGTTCCTAGACTGCTTCATTATTGCTTGTTTGGATCCATTAGCTCTCATTAACTGCTAATAGGCAACTTGAATATGTGAATGATTAGTAATTTTGTGAACATGAAATGGGAATCACTGGGGGATCAGAGAGCAAGCAAATATTTCCCTATTGACTGTTTGAACAGGATTTGATTTTAAAATTACACCCCTTCCTGTCGCTATTCATGTAACCTATCATCTGCAGGTGTTTTCCCATAACGATTACGTTTTACTACAAATACCCCCAAATGACAGCCAATCGTGGTGTGATACACATTTCACAGGTTCATGAACTAAACATATAAATTTATAATATTTTTTTTTTATCTTTTAGTAGCTGAACATTAGACATTTGTGTTTAGTTGGTGATGGGGTGATGTTAGATTTCAGAAAAAGTAACTATACAATGGAAACTATAGAAAAAAAATATTCATAAAAAATTGATGGAAAAAGCATAAAACACAAAGTCATCCTGAGAAAAAAAAATCATCCCTCAAAATTAACAATAAAAGGAAAACAAATTATTTGCACAACATTTTGTGTCATGTCTCCTGGAATTTTCAGATTAAAAAAAAAAATTGCGGTATGCAAGTCTCACATGAACAAATAATTTATTTTTCATGTACTACACATATCTCTCATATCGCAATGATGAACATGCCTGTCTGCTTGTCTGTGAAATCATCAGATAGCTGCTTTGAATATAGGGTAGACAGACATTAAATGCAAACAACCACCTGTCATAAAAACGATTCAACTGATTTACATACTCATGTTTAATAACATTTTGTTCATCTGAGATGTTATATTATTATATATATTTATTTTTTTGGTAACTTTACTTTATTGTACCAGCATTAACAACATTCATTATTATAGGATGAATGAATGAATGAATGAATGAATGAATGATAATGAATGAAAAATTCAAAGTACACAAACATAAAATGCCAAGCTGCAACATACAAAAGAACATCTCAATAAATTCCTTATTAACATATTCTAGTTGCTCTGTCAATAACCTGAACATTTTTAACAATAATACAAGCTTTCAATTTCAACATATCTGACATACATGTGCAAACAACAGAGAAATCACAGAGAACAGGAAATTCCTGTTTCACCTGCGCACACGAGCAACACGCGTGCAGTAAACCAACAAAGAGCTTATCCTCGTGTAATATTGATCAAAATTTACCAAGAAGGCTGAATGTAATTCATGAATGATTTAATTCAAAATGTCACCATTTGTCTCGTGTAAATAATTTCCTTGGGATAATAGCTATTGTAGTAGACGCGCTGTGAGACAGACAAAAGATCAGGTTGGTATATGCATCCATGTATTAATCTTTTGTTTAACCAATGTTTTGCTCTTAGTCAATGTATCCCGTTTGAGGAGGTATCTGATAATTATTAATATGTCTGTTTATTAGTGTGAAAACGTTAAAGCACTCTTTAGAGTTATTACCTTGTCTGCTTTCGTTTGACGATAAAATATTGCAGTGTTTTCATCAGGTGTAATTAAAATCTCCCTAGAGGGCTCCTTGCCAGCCCTCATTACACATTAGGAAGCAGGTATTGTCGACTCTTTTCTATATTCGCACAAGTTTTTGTAATATTTCTCTAGCTATATCATAATCCGCTATTTTGTTGATATAATAGTTGTGCAGATTTCTGCTCTGCTTGTTAGATGAGTTTGGTTAATTTTTAACAAAACCCGCTCATTCAGATGGAACATTTCTTTGTCTACTAGTGTGGTTGTCTCTCTAAATATCCCATTTTGTAAAAACTCGGCAGATGTATCCATTAGGAACATTTTGCAAAGAAAATTCAACACAAAAGAATTTGTAAAATTTCTACAAAATTGATGATGTGCATGAGTATGTGTTCCTTGTATCAAGAATTCTTTTCCAGTTAAATAAATGGTTTTCTAGCAATTTTCTGTTCCTTCTTTTGTATAGTAAATATTGATTCCGGGGATTTGTGGATGGGGGGAAAGGGGAGGGGGGGTTGAAAGACAGCAGACAGAAATGCCAAGCTGCCTACACTAGCCATACATAAGGAGAAGAATGACATTGTTACTTACTCAAAATATTTGCAGAATATACCGAAGCGGATAACTATTTCGTGAAAATTCGGCAATAAATAATGTGATAGAGTAATGGTGATTAATTTGTATATGCGTTATAGTCTCTTAAAATTTTATGGATGTGCATAAAAATACAACACCTATGATTATAACTCAATTCTAGTTTTATTTTCTACTGAAAATTCCAGTCAAAACATTTCAGTTATTGTCAAGCTAAAACAAAAATAAAAGCAGTGTTGCCATACCTTTTAGTATTTGATAAAACTTGGAGATAGAAATTGTGAATTTGTTTTCAAATATTAGGGTCAAAATAGAATTTTGCAAATTATGTGTAGGTACTCGACAGACTATTAAATTGATAAAAAGTATGGAGAGAGAGATACCGTGGTTGAGTGTATACATAACGCTAAGATATTGTCATGGTAACATCTTACGATACTGATCATGGATATATTTTCATTTCATCATATTTTGATTTGCAACATAAATCATGCCATTTTGCGGGGGCGGATTCAGCCATACATCTACTTACACTTATGTGGTAGTCAGATACGTCAGAGAGTATCAACAATGGTGAGAATTTTGCCAGAAAATACAAAAAACGGTAAGAATTCTTCAGAAATCATGTGGCATGACAAATATTTCAGTCTTGGTCAGTACTCAGTGTTAAAACCTGGATTCACCACTAATTTTGTGCACATGACCCCCAAAACCAGTGGGAAATCACAGCAATGTTAACTGCCTGTCAGAAGTTTGGATAAACACAGATTTCAACAATTGGAATTTCTTTTTTCTTGTTGTCAAGATCGGTTAAAGCCTTCATTTAACCTGTAGGCATAGATTTTATTTAATCCCTTAATTCTTTGGTTTTGTTTGGAAAACTATATCCTTGTCTGATATCATGTCTACTGTTTGCATTCATCTTCACTTTCTTGGCATAAAACTGTCAATTTATTATGAATGTTTTTTTTTGAGATTTAAAAATATTCTTATTAAATCTTATTGCTTATTAATTTCTACCATCAAGTTTCAAGTTGCATAATGAAACAGTCTGTGTTTGGTAGATCTTGTTGAATGATTTAAATGCAGCTGTTGTAGAATACTGTACCTGCAAACTTAATGAAATATTTACTGCTTCACAATTTTGCATATTCTCTTGGAGCTTCATGAAAATTTCTGACAAAATTACAGTGCTTTGTGTTACATTTGTGGTCGTTTTTGAATTTCTATAAAATTAATTTTTGTATGTTTTTATGAGAAAAATGGTATGACAAAAGAAGGAATAAGTTTTAGTAGAGTTTGAAGCTTTCTATGTAGTATTTATTACACTAATAGAGTAGTTTTAGGATAAACGCCTCAAACTACAACTTCAAAACCTCATGTTTGAAAATGTAATTTATCAATATTCAAAAGAGAGCTCTCACCTGTACAGACAATGGTTTTTATCATCAAAACCCATACTGGTGTTTTTATGGATTCTCCTCAAATTAGTTGAACAGTGAACATATTTAAACTTATCGAGTGGCAGATATTTTTCCCGCCTAAAATTTTGTGCAAATATTTTCACATTTTGTGAAATTTTCACTGAATTTCATCATCATTTTGGTCCATATAGACAAGTTCAGGTATTGTTTTTAGTCTTTGATCTAAAGGTTTGTTAATTTCTATCAACAGTTTGTATGGAGAGAAGCAGACTATATCAAATAATTTTATAGATTGTGTAAAAAGATGACAATGGCACTCAAAGGGTTAATATTTACAAATGAGTGATGTAATTTACTCAAATTCAGAGAATAAAATACATAATAAGTGTATAATTATGTCTATTGTACTGTTACAGACTCGGAAGACCAGCCAGAAGATCAAGAGGCAGAGTCAGGCAATATTCATGAAAGCTGGACTGAACATTGAAGATTTTAATATGTCGTTAGATGATGGAAATGATGAAGAATCTGTTGATATCAAAGAATTTGAGGAGTTGAAAAGAACATTGGAAGGTAATGTCAAATGCTTATTATTGAGGTTCTGACTGATTAGCTCAGAATCAGAAAAAAATAATTTTCAAAGAAGTTTAAATTTGACTGGATTAGATCATACTAGATTAGGTTAGGTTAGACAATGTGAGATTAAAAATCAGATTAAAAGAGACTAGACTAAAGTAGTGTTTATGCTACATGACGTCTGGACGAAGATTTTAGCTAATCCTGTATGTTTGCATATCAGATAGACTCAAATGTGTTCGCACACAGGAAGAAACATCTAAGGAATACGGTACTCAGTTTACGTAACTAGGAAGATA